AGATAAGAACATGTATGGGAGGGGATATGGAGAACTAGAATCCTTACACATTGCCAGTGGAAATGGAAAATGGTACAGCTACAGAAGAAAACCTTTTCACGGTTTCTTTTGAAAGTTAAAAATGAATATACCATATGACTCAGAAATTCTACTCCCGGGAATCTACTCAACAGAAATGAAAACATGTCCACACACAGACTTGTATGTGAACGTTCATAACAGCTTTATTTAGAATAGCCCCAAACTGGAAACAACAAATGTCCATCAACGGGTGAAATGGATAAACAAAATATGGTTTATCCATACAACCAAATACTAGGCAGCAATAAAAAAAGAACAAAATACTGGTGGCTGCTAAAACATGAACCACAAAAACATACTAACTGAAAGAAGCCAGGTGCAAAAAACCCCACATGTTATATGAATCCATTCATGTGCAACGTTCAGGTAAATGTCAGAGTGACTGCAAATGGGCATGGGAATCTTTTTGGGGTGATGGAAATTTTCTGAAATTGGGTCGTGGTAGTGATTGCACAACTTTGTAAACCCAGTAAAATATCACTGAATTATACTCTTGGAAATGAGTGAATTTTACGGTATGTAAATTATTGCTTAATAAAACTGCTAACGATTAAATAAGTTTAATTTACATTGTAGCGCCCAGCACATGGTCCTCGATAAATGCTCAGATTGTTCTTTTGGAGGCTGTATTTTGTCTTCCGAGCTCAGACCTGGTGCCTCAGAGGGCGAGGATGGCAACAAGTGCTAACGGCTAGCGTTTCTGGAGTCCTTGCTATGTTCCAGACTCTAACGGTTTTCTATATATGATCTCCTTCAGCTCTCACAACAATCCTTGGACACGGTAGTATTACGACTATTCACAGTTAGGGAAACGGAAGCTTTGCTGAGGTCACGGGGCCAAGGCGTGAAGAGTCATCTGTCTCCAATAGATCTAAGCTGTCCTGATGTATTGAGAACCTTTAAGACTTAAGAATTTCTAGTCCGGTTATGGGGCCAGCTTGGTGGCTCTGAGCACCTCCTTCATTCTAAGCCTTCCCTGTTTGAAACCTTGCTATTCTAGATTACCTGGCAGTTCTGCGATGTGAGGAGATTGTCGGCCACCATAACACTAATTGCCTGCCTGCCTCTGACTCATGTTTATCTTTGTTATAAGATTGTTGACCCCTACTGGGGTGCGTGGGGTGCTCCGTCTGTTAAGCGTCCGACTTCGGCTCAGGTCATGATCTCACAGTCTGTGAGTTCGAGCCCCACGTGGGGCTCTGTGCTGGCAGCTCAGAGCCTGGAGCCTGCTTCGGATTCTGTGTCTCTTTTCCTCTCTCTCTCTCTCTCTCTCTCTTTCTCCCCCTCCCCCACTCACGCTCTGTCTCTGTCTCTCAAAAATGAATAAACATTAAAAAAATTTTAAGACTGTGACCCCTCCTGACCCACGTTGGAGGATGGTGACGAAGGGCAGTTTCTGAACACTGCCTGGTTGACTTCTCTGACTCGTGCTGATATTTTGGCTCACCTCTGCCCTCAGAGTTCCCTGGAGGTCATGAAAATGTTTCCCCAGGCTTTTCCCTCAGTAGGCCCATGGCCCATTCATTGTCATCCCTGGGCCACAGTATATAGCCTCACTTTAGGAGGGAAGAACCTCCTATCAGTTTGGAATATTTTATCCTTTAGAATTTAGCACCTGGCGATGCTCTAGGCTACAGGGTTGGAAGGGTTGGGCAGAGTTTCAGTTCAGTTGCTAATTGTGTTTTAAATCCTTGGGCCTTCTCACACTTTCTACCATATTGCTCACGTCCTAGGATTCTTAGGGTTTCATTGGCTCTGACTATTAAGCACCATGGCTAATGTTCTATATTGGATTCCTATTAGATATTAGTTGAAACACAAAAGGTGTAGATACTCAGATGGTCCTATGTGAGGTCAAGTGGGAGTGAAAATCCCCCTCACATCCACCAGTGTTCAAACTCACAGTCTACGTACTCTTGCGCAGCCGACAATTTGATACCCGTAGTGTTTTGTCATCGTTCCAGAAACTGCCTCCAATTTGCTCTACTCATTGCCTTTGCTACATGTAGCCACCATGTCTGGATTCAACCGCCTATCAATCACTGCTTACCCAATCTCTCCCAGGATCAGGACCTGTGCTAGGAGCACAAGGGAGGCTAGGAAGCCTAATACTAATCCTCTCTTTTGGGATCTTTTGGAATCTCCTAGGGCCACTTGGAGATGGGAGGCACGTATACAAAGAGGAAATTGATATGCACTGAGATAATGGGATGGGGAAGAGATAACCAACCGCATATCACTGTTGAAACTACAGTTGCTTCTAGATTGCTTGGGTCAGATTGACCATAGTTGAGGCCTAGCAGGGACCTAGCTAGAGAAACTCACCTCCAGGGAAGGCCTCTCTAATTAGGTGATCTGAGACGCTTGGCTCTGGTTGCTCTCCCAGAGTGGGAGGAGAGAGTCAAGGCCTAGGTGGGGCTGCACCTCAGGATGCTGGTATTGGGGTGACCGCAAGCTCCACTCCAACGGAGGTGCTCCCCTGACAGATAATCAAGAGTTGTCCGTCTTCTTAACTGAAAATTTGGGGTTATCTCCGACTTTCCAGCAGCCCGCCCCTCCCTACCCCAGATTTGCTTCATTCGCAGACCATTTAATATGCTCCTGAATAACAGAAATAGGAGTATGTATTTAAGCTGTTATGAAGCAAAAGTCAACTCAAGTCACACTTCCTCTTTGAGCCAGCTTCCTGTGTTGGATGGCAGCATCGGTCTTTCACCTGTTTCTTTCCTTCTCCTTCCATCCTATTTTAGCTGAATCATGGGCCAAAATGGCTCCTGTCGTAGGGAGGAGGAGGCTATAATCCACAACATGGTTTCTGTGGGAAAATGTATTGTGTGCGAATACAGAGCATACCTGCCTCTCCTCCAATCCCTCCCATCCTGCCTGGGACAACTGCTCCATGAAATCCCTTTGGTCCCTGGAGGGTGGGAGAGACTGAGGAGGGAGGGTGAGCAGCGGGGAGCCGCACTCCTTCCCTCCTCTCAGCATGCAAACTGAGCGGCTTGCTTGCTTTTTATCTTGATTATATATATGTTAGGCTTTAGTGTTTGATTCCTTTTGAACAATGAATCCTGCTGTTAAGCAAAAAATACTGAAAACTACTGATTTAAGAAAGCTGGTATTAAGTGCAATGCTGAACTAGTGATTTAAAGGAAGTTTGCTTAGGGACTTGAAATTATAATCCAGAAGAACAAATTCACTGTTAGTCCTGGACATGCTCCAAGTTCATGCTCTCTTGACTCTGCTAAGTTCTAAGAACACTGTAGCCTAGATCTTTATTTTCAGCCTGCAATTTGTAATCAGGTCTCAACCCTGAAGGGAATGAAGTGGCATTCAGATTTGAGGGATTATAAAGATATGTGTGTTTAAGCTTTTGCGCTGTTTGCATTTGCATTACAGATACAAAGGTTTTAGAATTGTTTATGGAAGGCCCTTTTCCTGAACATACTTTTTCTTCCCGTCTTCTAAAGACAATACTGAAAAATATTCTATTTTCTTTGTGTCCAGGCTAGAAATTACTAAATAATGTTAAATCATCATAACTTTTATTATTTTCCTCATGTGGGTCTTTTTGGGTACACTAAAAGCTTTGCACCCCTCTGATGGTTTGTCATGAAAGATGGCGTCTGTGGATACAGCATTGTTCGCTGTTTGCTTACGAAAGGTGACACTGGGAAGTAGGAAGAATTGGAGCCAGTCATTGGAAGCTGGGTATTTCTGATTTTCTTGATGACCCTGATTCTAGTAAGTTTCTTAACAGCTCAAGTCCCAGGAACAAGGATACTAGCTTTGCTGATTTCACAGGCATGTTTTGAGTTGAAATGAACATTGCTACATGAAGGCTTTTGGCAAATATCAAGAGCTCTCCAAAACTACACCGTCCCGTCCCCTCAAGTGAATGGGGCTCTGCATTTTTTCACATGACACCTGTTATCTAAAGACAACTTGACTTCCTCTTCGGGTACGCGGAGATTCAGTCTCTTAGAAGAGGAAACGAAAACTATAAAAGTTGTAGGACTTACCTTGCGTAACTTTATTGGGATTTCTCATCATCTTTATGTAAATGTCATTTTTCGAGAAAGAAGAATGGATTATCATGCGTATGCATTTGTAACTTGAATTTTACTGCCCGCTACCGTGTTATTACTGTTGCATCGAGATTAGGCATTTAAGTTTTCATTCACAGAATTTCATATCGCTTTATTATATTAAAAACAGAGGTATTACAAGGAAGATTGTAACAGCAGCAATGTTTTAGATCTTCTTTGTCTTGTTCATTTCCGTGAAGTAAGTAGTACTAACAGGAAAGCATTAATCTCTGGCTGGTACATACATTTCAAATGTGTAAACAGCACGTTCCATGTCTTAATTGTGTTAAAACAGAGAGACATTACAAGGATGATTGTAGAACCGGTAAAGCTATTTCTACAAGAAATTTCGAACAGAAATTTAGGATGTTTACAGAGCTCAAAGTAAGGTTTTTTCATTTGGAAAAATTCTTGAGTTTTCAAACCTAGTACAACTGAGCTGCCCTGGATATTTGAAATGCAGCATTTTCCCTTTCCCTCGTTTTGTGTTGTTACGGAGGAAATGGGTTTTCGGTATACATGATTCAAGTGGGGGAAAAAACTCCATATTTAATTCCAAAATATTCTTGAGACTGGAAAAAAAATCTCTTTTGGAGTAGTCATGTTTTTTTAATAGTAACTCTATAGCCAAAGAATTTATTATGTTAATGCAGAAATACAAACAGCTTTCTCGAACAAAATACCTATTTTCTAGCTGCCTAACAGAAATGATTTACTCAAGAAAACAGAACAAAATTTCTCAGTTTCATTATCCAGCTTTGTAAATATTTTGCCAGAGCTTTTTTTTTTTTTTTCTTGGGGTGGGGGAAGCAAATAAAAGAGTTTAAAAGCTCAAATGTGTCTATTTTGTTTTAGCTTGGTGTACTTATTAAGAGTGAATTCTGTATGTTTTTGCAGTTCATCAATATGTGTATTTAGAAGTTTTTCAAATTCTTTTGCTCGCTTCTCTTCCTCCAGAAGGAAATGCTGTGCAGCCAAAGAGGCTGGGAAGACTATATCTGGGGGAGACTAAAGAGAGAAAGAAACATTAGGTGAGGAACACAAAGCCTTTTAAACCTTCCTGTTTCCAGGCATGCCTCATCCCTGGCATGCTGTCAGACGGTACAGCTCTTTTTTTTTTTTTTTTTTTTTCCAACGTTTATTTATCTTTGGGACAGAGAGAGACAGAGCATGAACGGGGGAGGGGCAGAGAGAGAGGGAGACACAGAATCAGAAACAGTCTCCAGGCTCTGAGCCATCAGCCCAGAGCCCGACGCGGGGCTCGAACTCACGGACCGCGAGATCGTGACCTGGCTGAAGTCGGACGCTTAACCGACTGTGCCACCCAGGTGCCCCCGGTACAGCTCTTAATGAAACAATCCAGGCTGAACCGTCCCTACTGGTATAACGCAGTGACTGCTCGTGCAATCCTCCACAAATGACAACATCACAGCACCCTTATATTAAAAAGCTCCAGAAATGAATATTACCGTGTCCAGCTGCAAATGCAGGGCCCACAAAATTCCCATGGAACTTGGCCTCAAACACACTCAACTAATTTGTAAAGCCAAGGGTTTTCATCTGAAAACAAGCAACTCCAAAAAGCTAAATGTTAAGATTACAGTAGGACGGGGGCAAAGAAAGCTTATATAGGGGGAAAAATTAAGGACTGGCTGAAAATGGGAGCTAATCGCTGTTTGGAGTTGGCCGGGTGAGGAGGGCTGGCAGCACGATGCATCCTGGGTAAGAGTGGCTTCCTCCTGGGGAACGCCATGACGCGGGAAAGTATTTCGTTTGTCCACTGAGAAGGCATCATGGTAAGCGCCCAGTTCCACACTTCACGGCAATATGGAAGTGCTCATTTAACTGCCCGTGACCTAAGTTCTTACTAATGCACGCGTGTGCACATGCACACACACACACACACACACACACACACGTGTGCGCGTGCTTCATTCAAACTACTGTTTTGGGTTAATTTAAAAAATAAGTTGAGGACATCTGTACTTTAATTTTCTAGTTCTGGGGTCCCTGAACTCTTCTTCAACTTTTGTTTTATTGGAAGAATGGAGCTTTATATGGTGTTTCAAGAGTTGACGATCTGGATGCCGGTGAACCCTGCTCTAGGGGAATTGAGTTCGTAAGTCTGGCCTCTGACAAAGTGGATGGATCATGGCGGATGATAATGGAGTGCCGTAGAAACTCATCCAAGTAGTAGCGCCAGCTGTGGTGCCGAATAGAGTATCTTTACTATAGACTTAGGTACACGATATGCTGCTGTTGAGTTGACAAATGCACTCTTTTTAATACCCAATGAGGAGGAGGATCAGAAGTAAGTAGCTGGTGTCCACGTGGGACAGACAACAGTACACATTCATGTTCTTGCCCCAGTGTTATGTGTTATGTAAGGATGCTGTCACAATAAATTCTGAAGAAGCCTGGGCCGTCTGGACATTCCAAGGGCTATAAATTATAGGGCATAATGTAGTAACATTAACATCACGCTAAGATCTGATGAGCAGGAAGTGGCAAGTATGTCGAAGGCTTGGAAGGACACACTCCATCCAGAGAGTGAAAGATAAACCCCATAAATGGTTCACAGGCTTGACACTTAAAAAAAATTTTTTTTTTAATATCCATTTATTGTTTTCAGAGCGAGAGAGAGTGGGAGAGGGGCAGAGAGAGGGAGACATAGAATCTGAAGAAGGCTCCAGGTTCTGAGCTGTCAGCACAGAGCCCAACATGGAGCTCGAACCCACAAACTGTGAGGTCATGACCTGAGCCAAAATTGGATGCTTAACCGACTGAGCCACCCAGGAGCCCTGGGTTTGACACGTTTTTAGGTGTCCAGTTATATGGAGCATGGTAGGATATCTCTTAAGCACAAATTAATGCACCTTGCATTTCTTATCACTAAAGAAGCACAAAGCTTGGTAGGTCTCTTCAGGTTTTGGAAGCAGCATCTTCCACTCTTGGGTGGAATAATCTGACTCATTTACTGGGTGACACAGAAGGCTGTTTCTGTTTCATTTTGTGTTTGCGGTAGAGCCCAGAGCAAGAAAGGACACTGCAGTAGGTTGGGAATGGGGTACGAGCAGTCCTACCACCTGGGCAAAATGACTTGGAAGATCCCATACTAGAAGAATCTCTGATACAGAAAAAAGATTGCTTTGTGCAGCCTCTGCAAAGTTTCACGAGTCAAGTTGCATTGAAGACCCTTAAGATTTTGAAGCCAAGGCCATGCCATCTGGGGCAGAAAACCGTCTACTGTTGACAAAACAGTTCCTCTAATGCTACTGAGTTGAGACAGAGCATCTAAGAAGCGGGTATGATGACTTGATCTAGCCTCTGTCCTTGGCCACTCTGGTGGAAATTATGGACGGGCCCAACAGCATGGTCTCCCTTTCACCAAGGTTAATTTAGTGAACGGTTGCTTGTTGAATGATCTGCTTGCAATAGAGACTAAAGCTGAGTTCCTGACATGGCACCATCCCTCAAAGAGACCAACCAGCCTCTTGTTGGCAATTTGTTTACACCAGGTCCCTGACACCTTGGAAAGGGCAATGTTTCATCCTTACCAGCAGCACTGACATATATTGTATGGGTTTGCCTTTCCTGCCTGAAGGGCCTTGGCCTTGACCACTACCTGAAAGCTCGCAGAGAGACTGATTTACTGACGTGGGATCCTGATTAGTAGTAAAGGAACCTACCTTAAAGCAGAGGAGTATGGCAGTGGGGGCATGACCATGGTATTCATTGGTCTTACCACATATAGCACCATCTAGAGGATGCTACCCTGATAGGCTTCTTGAAGGCAGAACTGAGGCATCAGCTTGCAAATTTTAACTTGTGAGGATGGGGTACTATTCTTCAGGATATGGTATAGACTTTAAACCAATGGCCCTTATATGCTACTGTATTTCCAACAGGTAGAATACACGAATCTGGGAATGAAACGGAGGATGTAGGAATGGCTCCACTCTATCATTTCTGTTGACCCACTTGGAGAATTAGTACCTTCTGTCTTTGTATCTTTAGGCTCTGTTGATCTACAGGTCCCGGGTCTCAGAGGGAGAAATGCCTCCACCAAGAGACCTGTAAGAGTCTCACTACACTTAAAGCACTAGCTGGCACCTAGCCACTTTGGGCTCCTCATGCTGGCAGTTCAGAGGCACAGAAAAGAGGTGCTATACTAGCAGGGGTACCTGGCCCTAATCATTACAAAGGCTACTACTGTATAATGGGGGCAGTGAAGAATATATTTTATGTTTAGTCGAGCCACTGAGGTTTCTTTGAATACTCTCATGCCCAGTTTCAACTGTAAATGGCAAACCACATCCGGATAAGGCCATGGGAACCAGGGGCTCACCCCACAAGGCAAGCTACCTGGCCAGCTGAGAGGGAGGGGAATCTAGAATGGGTGAGGGGATGGTGTCTATCAAGTCCTTGAGACCGGTTGTAGCATCAAGTTGTAGCAACCCTCCTCTTACAGGTTTTCCCAGAAATTATGACCAGTCAGAATCTTGGAGAAGACAGGTCTGAGTGGAATGAACAACAGGAGTTGAACACGGATCTGAGTGGTTCAAGAGGTGGACTATAGTGGATGCTGTTGGTGCCCTACTGGAATTTCCTTCACCAGGCTAGTGCATCTGTCCTCCAGCTGCTGTGGTTGTTGGTTCTCTGGAGACCTGCCCTCAGCTGAACCGGAGCCTTCTGCCTCATCTGGGAAGTTGTAATACCCCCCTCAGCCCATTCCCTTCTCCTCTAAGAGGCAATGACTGACTGACAGGGGGTACAAAATGCCAGACTTCTTGTCTCTGGGGGAATCAACTCTGTTGTGCAATTTGTGCCCCAAGTTCCTGGTGAGACCACGCCAATCTCCTCTCTAGCTGAGATCTTATCCTTGTTTAGCTTTTCTCCCTTCCCCTAGACTGCTTCCCTGACTCTCCTCCTGCCAAGAATAGTACTCTCAATAAATCACTTTCATAGGAATCTTCATCTCAGATTCTAGGAAACCTGATCTCAGATGACTTCCCAACTTCTGGCTTGAGTGATGATTGCGTGACATCAACGCCATTTATTGATAAACGAAAAACAGTAGAAGGAGCCCATTAAGGGTAAGGTCTTATTTATTTTGGATTCTCCAGATTCTAGCAGTTTCTAGCACAGAGTATATTTCAAACAAAATTTTGAATTAATATATGAATGAAGAAAATGCATTTGATCTTAAATAATGCTGAGTTAGAGGTGACTTGGGGCTCAAACAGATTGTCATGTAGACAATGAGATATATCAATCCAGATCCCAAAAGGTTGGTTTGGATTAGAGATATTTCAAAGTTATAGATAATTAAAGCTGTGAGTCTGACTGAAATCATCCAAAACATGCAAATAAAAACAGCAGTTCAAAAATGGAATCTTGGGGGCGCCTGGGTGGCGCAGTCGGTTGAGCGTCCGACTTCGGCTCAGGTCATGATCTCACAGTTTGTGGGTTCCAGCCCCTCATCAGGCTCTGTGCTGACCGCTTGCTCAGAGCCTGGAGCCTGCTTCAGATTCTGTCTCCTTCTCTCTCTGCCCCTCCCCCGCTCACGCTTTGTCTCACTCTGTTTCTCAAAAAAAAAAAAAAAAAAAAAAAAGGAATCTAGGAGAGTGCTTCATTTCAGGCACCCACTCCCATGGCTGTGTTCTTGACACTGTCATCAACGATAACTTCATTATTTACTAATCAAGATTTTCAGCAACCCACCCATTACCCTTCCAGCTTATTTCGTCTCATATTCCTACTTTCTCACAGCATCCATTCCCTTCTGACTCTGCTTATATTCCAGATCCATCGTTGTAACCATTCCTCTGTTCTAGGTACTTGGTAAAACCCAAGCCTAAATAAAGTGTTGACGCATGCCTGCACCTGAGCAGCTGAATGCTGGGGTGGGTGGATGGAGGAGGAATTCTATTACTGCAGGGACTGCTTTTACTTACAGTTCAGGACCTCATGTGTCAAAAGGTTAGTTAACACCATCTGCCCATTCT